GCGGGACGATTGAATTTCCGATCGTTCCCTAACCTTTAAACCCAGCCGTGTACCAGAGGCCATCCCCGCGAGGGTCGCGTATTTGTCCAAGGCCAATCTCGCCGCAGCGAGAGAGAGGGAGGGAGGCAAAAGGTAAGCCGTATCGCGTATACCGCGTGGAAACCGCCGTCCGGACGGACACTGCAAATATTAGTTCATTACCAAAAGTGGCGGCGAAACCGAGGCTGCGAACGGTAGCGCCGCGGAACCGCAGGAACGTTCGTCCGCGGTTTATTTAATGACACCCTTCCGCTGCTTTTCAATTAACCTCCCCACTCTCTCTCTCTCTCTCTCTCTTTTTCTCTCTTTCCACAGGGAAAAGGTTGGCCTTCGGTTCTCTTCGGAGGATTTCGAAATATTCTCGAAATATTCTCGCGGATTGGAGGATTGGACGAAGCGAGAAGCGAAGCGGAAGTTGACTCGCATGACGGAGGATCGTAAATAAGAGAGCGAATCGAGGCGCGGAAGGCTAGTAGACGCGATGCGTGCGGGATACGTCCATGGGTGCGTGCGTGTAGGAGGCACGTAATACAGCGCACCGTCGAAGGGAGACCGTTTAATAACAATATATCTCGGACGTCGCCAAGGTACATGGGAATCGTGGCCGGGGAATAAAGGAGGCTAAGGAGAGAGGGGGAGAGTGAGATATTTTATCATTAGAGCCTCGGTGTTATTTCCTCGCCTCCTCGAATTCGATCCTTTCGTCTTCTTCGAAAAATAGACGGAGGAAAAAAGAAAAAAATAGAGCGGCGCGCGTGGAAGGGGCCCGGAGCCGACTAAACGAGGCGACTCGATCGAGCGGGCAAATTAGACGAGCAGAAGGAGGAGGAGGAGGAGTAGCTCGTTAGTCACGACGTTCGATACTCCCACGAAGATCGGCCGCTTCCGAAGACTAGAAAGACCGGGAAAATAATAAAGTAACGAGATCGCGGCTGGTGGAAAAAGATGGTTGGAAACAAGGTGGTCTACGCTCTCGAGGTGGAGACGGTTGACAATTTCACGGTACATCGGTGATCCGTGGGTGGATCCGACCGACCCAACACCGCCGCTAATTATGTTTTTAATTAATCATCGCGTTTCGTCGCGGGCAAAGTTTACTCGTCCACGCTCGTTACGCGGCCTAATAACGCGCGTCGCTCGTCGAGGAAACGGGCGACAAAGTTCACGCCCCCTCCCCCTGTAAACCGAGGCGGCCGCCTTCCTCCTCGTTATATCCTTCCTTCTTCTCCACTCCTTCTTCTCTCGAGGCGACACGGCTATCGAAATAATCCCGAACCAAGCCGGGGAGGAGTGGTTCGCGGCGTAAATGACCCGGAAACCGTCTGCTCTTCGTGGGTAAAAATACAGGCGCGGAACGAAAATTTCGAACCGAAGAGAGAGAGAGAGAGAATAAAGAGGGCGCCGCGACGACGTCGTTAACGGCGCGACGTTAATTATCGTTCGAACGATAATTATCGCCGTTCCCGAACGAAATTGCTCCACCGCTGCTAAGCGAGCGAGCGAGCAAATAAGCAATTCGTCGTCGAGTTAATAAAACGGATGTCCCGAAAAGTTGGCGACCAGGTGGTGACGACTCTTTCTTTCGCCATCTCTCGGACGGCACCCTGTCGCGAGCCGAGCTTTACGAGTTCGGCACTCGAGTTTACTCGCTGTTTCGCGAGAGGCGAAGGGGGAGAGAGAGAGAATGATTCATCCGGATCGATGCGCGAAAGGCGAGGAGCAATTTATTGGGTCGTTGAAAAGCCGAGGGGCCCGAGATCGTGACCGTATCGTCGTTGCGTAAGAGGGTCGTTAAGAGGGGTCCTTATTTCGGGGTCAGGTCCGGCCCCGTTTGGCACGAGCGGGCTCGATTTCGGGGAACCGATTCGACCCGTGGTGAGCCGATTTGACGAGGCTGCGGCCGGTGTCGCCCGGCCGAGAGTCGATCGAGCCGTTCCACGAACGCGGGGAACCACGAAACGAATAATCGATTAGATTCATCGGATCCTGGACCGTGGCTCGTGAACTGGATCTCTAAATCACGTGGGCGCGCTATTATCCGCGGAGCGCCGGCGGAGGTGATTCGCGGAGGGAAGGATGATCGGTGGAACGATCACGTACGTGTATCGGTGTATAGCGGTGGAAAAATGGAAGACAAAAGGAAGAGCGTGACTAATGCTCGGAGCGATCTATAGCGGACGAGTAACCTGTTATTACTAATTTCGTTCTGACATGTTCGGCCGGGCATCGAATCGAATACCACCTCCTCCTCCTCCACCTCCTCTCCTTCCTTTTAATTCTCTCTCTCTCTCTCTCTCTTTCCTCCTTACCTCTCGAATCTCGAGTTAAATATAACTTTACTCTTTAAATTCGAATTCCAAGCTTATGCTATTTTCGCGTTATCGACTTCATTAGCCATCTGGGTCCGGTCTTNCGTTTTTTAAAGCGGAAAAGTCGACGCGAGAAACGGCCACGTTCCGGTCGAGATATCGAGTTTTTTTTAACAACGTGGGAAAAAAAATACTCGAAGCATAAACGCTTTCGAGAATGGTAGAAGAAGATTATTTCTACTTTTTAATCGTTGTTTTTTCCTTCGTCTCGAAGCCTCTCCCGTCTCCCAAGAGATAAGCAGAATCGAATATCTTACCTCTTGAAAAGGAGGGGTGGGTGTAAAATGGAATACGCGCGAAGATGGATCGAAAACGAGGCTCGTAACGTCTCGGGGCTCAACTTTATGAATATTATTTTCCAGCAGATGTCCCCGACGATAGAACCTCGTCGTCGTCGTCGTTGTAGTCGTCGTCGTAATTAATGACATCTTTCCGGGGGTTTGTCGGCGAATTCGGCGCGAGAAAGAGGAGGAAGGGAGGAGGAGAATTTGAGAGGTAAGTTGGCCGGCGATAAGGGAAAACCGGTGGATGGGTGGATGGCGAACGACAATGCGCGAGAATTATCCCGGAATGACGGGGTAAGTTTTAA